GGATCCTTTCTAGAGAAGGAGTTTCTCTCGAAAGAAGTGAGTGGGAGGAAAGTAGAACTTGATGAGGTAACTGTACCTGCTCCCTTATTGGAAAGTAGTTCATCACAGAAATCTGTTCCTGTGACTACTACACCAATTAGTGAGGAAGCTAATGATGATGATCATGTAACTTCAGATCAAGTTACTACCGAACCTCGTAGGTAAACCAGAGTGAGATCCGCACCAGAGTGGTACGGTAATCCTGTTCTGGAGGTCATGTTACTTGACCATGATGAGCCTACGAACTATGAGGAAGCGATGATGAGCCCAGATTCCGCGAAATGGCTTGAGGCCATGAAATCTGAGATGAGATCCATGTATGAGAACAAAGTATGGACTTTGATTGACTTGCCCAAAGATCGGCGAGCCATTGAGATTAAATGGATCTTCAAGAGGAAGACAGACGTTGATAGTAGTGTTACTATCTACAAAGCTAGAATTGTCGCAAAAGGTTTTCGACAAGTTCAAGGTGTTGACTATGCTGAGAGTTACTCACTCCTATCTATGCTTAAGTCTGTCCGAATCATGTTAGCAATTGTCATATTTTATGAAATCTGGCAAATGGATAAACAAAACTGCATTCCTTAATGTATTTATTAAAGAAGAGTTGTATATGATGCAACCAGAAGGTTTTGTCAATCCTAAAGGTGCTAACAAAATATGCAAGCTCCAGCAATCCATGTATGGACTGGTGCAAGCATCTCGGAGTTGGAATGTACACTTTGATAAGTTGATCAAAGCATATAGTCTTATACAAACTTGCGATGAAGCCTGTATTTACAAGAAAGTGAGTGGGAGCACTACATCATTTCTAATAAGTATATGTGAATGACATATTGTTGATCGGAGATAATGTAGAATTATTCTGCAAAGCATAAAGGAGTGTTTGAAAGGAGTTTTTCAAAGAAAGACCTCGGTAAAGCTGCTTACATATTGAGCATCAAGATCTATAGAGATAAATCAAGACTCTTGATAAGTTTTTCAATGAGCACATACCTTGACAAGATTTTGAAGTAGTTCAAAATGGAATAGTCAAAGAAAGAGTTCTTGCCTGTGTTACAAGGCGTGAAACTAAGTAAGACTCAAAGCCCGACCACGGCAGAAGATAGAAAGAGAATGAAACTCATTACCTTCTATCAGGGCGGGTCACCAGTGAGTCGCCAAGTCCGACCGGGTCATACAGCAGGGTATATCCCTGACAATAGTGTTGGGTCGGCTCATTTAGTCGAGCTTAGAAACGAGGCTACTGATGGAAATATGCCCTAGAGGCAATAATAAAGTTATTATTATTATACTTTATTATTCATGATAAAGGTTATTATTCGTGCTAGAATTGTATTGACCAAAAAATTAAATACATGTGTGAATACATAAACAAATACCGTGTCCCTAGTGAGCATCTACTAGTCTAGCTCGTTGATGAAAGATGGTTAAGGTTTCCTAACCATAGACATGAGTTGCCATTTGATAACGGGATCACATCATTAAGAGAATGATGTGATGGACAAGACCCAACCATTAATATAGCATATGATCATTCAATTTATTGCTACTGCTTTCTTAATGTCAAATACATGTTTCTTCCACCATGAGATCATGCAACTCCCGGATACCGGAGGAATACCTTGTGTTCTATCAAACGTCACAACATAACTGGGTGATCATAAAGATGCTCTACAGGTATCTTTGAAGGTGTCCGTTGAGTTGGCGTGAATCAATATTGGGATTTGTCACTCCATATATTGGAGAGGTATCTCTGGGCCCTCTCGGTAATATAGCATCACAAGAAACTTGCAAGCAAAGTGACTAAGGAGTTAGTTATGAGATGATGTATTTCGGAATGAGTAAAGAGACTTGCCAGTAACGAGTTTGAACTAGGTACGGAGATACCGACGATCAAATTTCGGGCAAGTAACATACCGACAGACAAAGGGAACAACATATGCTGTCATAAAGGTTCGATCGATAAAGATCTTCGTAGAATATGCCCGCTATTGGTTATTGACCGGAGAAGTGCCTCAATCATGTCTAAATCATTTCCGAACCCGTAGGATCCGCACGCTTAATGTTCGTTGACAATATAGTACTATATGAGTTGGTGACCGAATATTGTTCGGAGTCTCAGATGAGATCACGTACATGACGAGGAGCTCCAGAATGGTACGGAGGTAAATATTGATATATAGGACGATGCTATTCGGTCACTTAAAGGTTTCGGAAAATACCGAGTATTTATCGAAGTGTCAGTAGGGGTTCCGGAAGGCCATCGGTAAAGTGGTGGGCCTTATGGGCCAAAGGGGGCAGCACACCAACCCAGAAGGAGTCGGGCACGCCCCTCCACCCCTGCCCACGCACCAAGGAGGAAGGGAAGGAAGGGGAGGCGCCCTAAGGCAGCCAACCCACCTTTCCCTTCCCCATGTCCAAATATGGAAGGGGGGCGCGGCTAGGCAGGCCCTAGGGCTGCCTCCTCTCCCCCCCCCCTCCACCTATATATATGAGAGGAGGGAGAGGGGCAATAAACACCACGATCCCCAAGCCGTGTGCGGCGCCCCTCTTCCTCTAGTTCGTCCTCGGTCATAATTTTTGTAATGCTCGGCGAAGCCTTGGAAGATAGTTTCACCATCATCATCACCACGCCGTTGTGCTGCCAGAACTCGTCTACTATTTCGCCCGTCTTGCTGGATCAAGAAGGCAAGGACGGCATCGAGCTGAACGTGTGCTGAACGCGAAGGTGTCATACATTCAGTACTTGATCGGCGGATCATGAAGGTGTACGACTACATCAACCGTGTTGATAAACGCTTCCGCTTAACGGTCTACAAGGATACATAGACATGCTCTCCCCTCTCGTAGCTATGCATCTCGATGGATAGATCTTGCGTGTGCATAGAATCTTTTTGTTTTACATACAACATTTCCCAACAGCTAGGCTATATCTCGAATAACGCAAGGAATACCACGGAAACGTGCACTCTACCTGTGGGCCGGCCATTTCTCGTATATTTTTCCATTTTTTCTTGTTGCTTCCTTTCTTTTACACCTAAAAGAATGGTGTTTCCTTTTCTTGGTATTTTACAGTGTTTTGGGTTTTAGTTTCTAGAAAATAAATTAATCCATAAGAATATTCAAATACATAAACATTTCTCAAAACCTAATAATATTTCTCAAATTAATGGACATTTTTTAATATGAGAAAATTTTCAAATACATGATCATTTTTAAATTCTTGTCATTTTCTGAAATTTGAATGCTTTTCGAATACATGAATAATTTTAAAATTAGTGAAACATTTTTTGAAATTTGAAAACATTTCCCAAATTCACAAGAGTAAAATGCAGGACTTTTTTGAAATCCCAAACATTTTTCAAAGTTAAGAAAAGAAACGAGAAAACAAGAAAAGTAACAAAATATAGGGATGCCCCGCCGCGCACATATGCCCTATTACGAGACGTCGGCTCGCCTCGCCTCAATTCACCACAAAGTAGGCTGACCCAGTAACAATTAATTCATTCCTTGCGTACACCACTTTCGTTTCTTTGCTTTGTTCTATTTTCTCTTATATTATTCATACTTATGAAATGCAAAACATGTTATACTTAAGTTTTTAAAAATGGTTATCACACATTTAACAAATGTTCATGCAGTGCAATTTTTTTGTTCGTGTAAGTTAAAGAAATGTCCGTACCATTCAAAAAATAACATTCACAATTTCAAAATTTTGCTCTTGAAAATGTAAAACTTTGTTCATTTGTTTGTTCAAAAAGTTCGTATCATTCATAAAATTGTTCATGGCAGTTCAAAAATGGTTGCACATTAAAAAAATATGTTTGTTAATTTCAAAAAAAGTTACTACAATATAAAAATTTATAAGTGCAATGTGGTAATATTACGATATTAGTAAAAATTGTAAATTTTCAAATGTTTTTGCCATGATTTTTGTAGTGTAACTAATGGTATGTCATTACGAAATTTTCATGTTCACTTTCCAACTCTGTGTAAGAAACATTGCTTTGATTTCTAGGTGTTGTTTCAAGATGAAATGTATTTCTGGATTCTGTTTTCCCTTTTTGATGACCACAGTGATTACCACAAGGAACTTAGGAAAAACACCGGTAAGATTAGTAGTGTTTGATAAAAAAATGTTTCTTTTTCTCAAAAAAACTCTCATTTTTCATTTATACTTAGTAATTATTTTTCTTATGCGTAGGTTCCCAATTTCCAAATATGTTGGCACAAGTTTTGTTCTAAAACAGTAGATTTCAGCGAGCAGGGTATCTATTTTTCCTAAAGTAACCCAGCAAGATAATGAATAGGTTTTATCGTTTGTTTATTTTATTTTGAATGGTTTTCATAATTCCACTAAAAAGGAATGATTTTCAGTTTTGATATTTTTGGTATCTTGGTACTGATTTATCTTATTCAATTTTTTCACTCTTCAATGTACGAGTTCTGTGTGTGTGTGATGGTTGTATTCTTGAACATATATAACCCATTCTCTTGTGTTTGAAGAGCAGATGATATGGGCGCGTTTGGTTACACGAGGCTGGCCTAGTGAAGCCTGTCTCAGTGTAGCTATTTAAGGGCTTGTTTGGTTATCCTCATCGAGCCCAACCAAGCTCGTGCGGTCCAGCATCTTTTTAGACCCGATTATTTGGTTGCTTGCATACACTGTTTAGCCTGCATAACATGGTTCTTAAAGCATCATTGGGCTTGGCCCGTTAGGAATGGCCGAATTGGCGGTTTCTCTAGAGCCGGGCCCGAGCGATGCTTCGAGGCGCACGTAGGTGGCTCTCTGGAGACGCGTGTCTCGAGCTAATCTCGCTCTCTTCCTAATCCTCGATCCCCTTTCTCTCCCTCTACTCTAGAGCGGCCGGGAGCACCACGGTGACGCCGACGCGCACCCATTGTGAGAGCGTCTCCGAGCGGGTCTCCGGCGAGCTTGGCACGGCCATCGGCGCCGATCACGATGTTGCACGCCTTGACGTCCCGTGCACCATCCCGGTCCTGTGAAGGTACGCGAGTCCAGCCGCCATGTCGGTGGCGTACCCGCGGACGGCGCGCTCGTCGAGGCCCCCGTTGCTCGCCGCCCGGTCCGCTAGTGAGCCTCCCGGGGCGAACTCGAGGAAGAGCTGGTAGGAGCCGTCGCGGGCGCCGCGGCCACTGATGCAGGAGACAACGCGCGGGTATCTCAGGCCGGACATGAGGCCCTCCTCCCTCTCCGCGCGCCCGCAGGCCGGCCCCGTGCCGCCCGCGCCCGCCCGTCTGTTTGCCGCGCCTCGCGCTGTCTCGCCAGCTGCTCTCCCCTGTCTCGCCACCTGCTCCCCTGCCTCGCGCCATGGCCACTTCGCTCCCGGGCGACCGCTCCGCCGCGTACAGCGCTGCTCCGCCCGCTGCTAGGCCTGGGGCGTGCTCATCTTGGCGAGCTTGGGACGGCCATCGGCGCCCATGCCGAGGGTCTCGTACAGCTTCGCCTGCCCGGGCCAGCTGCTGCTCTGGAGCGTGCTGTAGTAGGCGCGTTGCCACGGGCTCAGCCGGTCCTGCCCGGACACTGTGACCAGCACGCGGGAGGCGCCGAGTTGCTGCCAGGAGGCCGCGCTACTCCACTCGCTCCAGCGCCTCCCGCACGCCTTCTTGCCGAGCGCGGCGAGGAGGCCGGCGAGGAAGGCCGCAAGCTCGGCTTTTTCTTTGCTCAGGGGCGTCTACTGGGTTTGGTCTTTGTTGTGAGTGTAGCGGCCACGACCACGGCAGCGAGTCGGGCGTGTCCACGGTCGCCGGGAGCTGGTGGTGGGCACGTGGACAGTGGAAGCTCCGGCACGCTCAAAGTGTTGACGAAATGTCAAGCCCAACCTGATGGATGTTAAGTTTTGTTGTTAACGCTGGTAATCGTATGCATGTATGCAACCAAACATCGGGTGAAAATTGCATCTCGATGACAAGACGCCCCAATGCAGGCAACCAATCAACTGGTCATCTACGTTTTCGACCTTGTTTTCGGTAACCCAGGCCTTGCTCAGCCTGGCTCGTTTTTTCCCTCTGAGCCAGGCCCGGCAGCGAAAGCAACCAAACAGGCCCTAAGTGCATATAGGCTCTGAGTCATGTTTTGTATGTCGTTTGGTTTACTGCACCAAACCAGCCCGCATCCTTCTTGTAGTGTAAATTGCACTAGGCCCAGTTTGCATGTGCAAAAATGATCGATCTGGGCGTTCCTCGTGAACCAGGCTGAGAGCGTTTTAAGTTTCGTGTGGGCCAGTTTCTAGGTGTGAGCTAGACAATCAAACAACTCTTTACTTAGTCCCCCAGAGCCTTATTGGGCTTGATGCAGCCTACCAACCGCGCCCTAAATAACCCTCATTTCCGAAAAGACATCGATGGAAACCATTGGCAACATATTCGCAGAATCTGTTTGCAACGATGGACACCATTCGCCTGAAACTGCGTTGTGGTTCGGTAACGTAGATCTTCTCGGTCGTTTGCCTGAGCTAATGAACATCCTGTTACCTTGAGCTCAGCCCCCTTGCTGATGGCAGGATCTCATTTGACTCTGTTTACCCTATATTTTAGCTGGCGTCTTGTAGAAACTGATGTTTTCTGCTAATAGAAAGAGAGAATTGGGCAGACCAAGACGAGCACCAACGTTCTGCCCATGGATGGCACTAAACCGAGAGTCGCGCTATCGTTCTCGTCTCCGGTAGCTTAAAAGATATGTAACTTCAGCAGTGAGTGATTGCCACCTCGGGGGTGTAGCTCATATGGTAGAGCGCTCGCTTCGCATGCGAGAGGCACGGGGTTCGATTCCCCGCACCTCCATTTTTTTTCCCAGAATCATCAGGTAAATGTTTATTTTTTACCTCCTGTTCATTTTGACCGTTGCCGTGTTCAGCTCTCGTCTCCAAGGCCCAGCCAACACAAGCGAGAAGCGCGCCGCGAACTGGCGCAGCCTTTTACCCTGCTGCCGTTCACCATCACACGCTCAAACGCTCCTCTCCCCTTCTCTCTCGTATACAGTGGTAGTAACAAAGCATGAAAAACAGTGGCGTCTCAGCTTACTTTAAACAAGGACGGCCTACGCAGGCAGCCATAATTTGTGAGGAATGTTCTTGGTACTGTATTACCTATAGCTGCTAGGTAGAAACCGATCATTCTCATTCCATTCCATTCCATTCATCCCACCCTCATGTTTTGTGTGGTTAATGATTAACGAGGACGTGTAGCTCGCGGCAAACATAATGCAACAAAAGGCGGGAAAGGCGGCACATCTAGCTAGAAATGGAGCCTGCGAAGGTGGACCTGCCCTGAGCTAGTAGGCGTGTTTCTTCCGGGTAGAGTTCCAAGTGTGCGACCTGTGGGGGGCTTTCTCGGACGAAAGCGGATGATTGCATGCGGTAAAGTGTTTGCGGTTTTGAGATTCGTCCATGCTTGTGCAGTTGTGCTCTGGGGCCGGCGTGCATGCCGGTGAATGAACGGAAAGGGCTCGTCCACCGGAGCTAGATAAGTGCAGGGTTTCGCCCCGGCCCGGGGGCTGCCGCTCTTGGTGCTTTGCATTTGATAGCACTGGTCTTCTATTATTTTTTATTGAAAAACCTTTCGATCTATCCATCTTAAATCATGATAGTACAACGAACACTAAAAATAATAAAAATTACATCCAACCGTAGACCACCCAGTGACGACTACAGGCGCTGAAGCGAGTCGAAGGCGCGCCGCTGTCATCGCCCCTCCCGCGCCGGAGCCGGGCAAACCTTGTTGTACGTAGTAGACAGTCGAGAAGTTATCGTGTTGAGGCCCCATAGAACCAACGCACTAGAACAACAACCGTCGCGGATGAAGAGTGTATATTAAAAGGATCCAACCTGAAGACATACGAACGAAGACGAACGACGAACAAATCCATCAAAGACATATCCGACGAAGACACGCCTCCACAAGTCCACCAATGATGCTACACGCATCACCGGAACAGAGGCTAGGCGGGAGGCCTTTATTTCATCTTCAGGGAGCCGCCGCCGTCTCGCTTTACTAAGCAGCACACAATCCCTAACAAAGCTCAAAAAAAGATCTAAAAACGAAGCCCTCCCATCGGAAAGGGCCGATATCCACTCCGTGTCCATAGCCCTAAGGCCACTGGGGACGGAACGGACCGGCGCCAACGTCGGCAGGAGGCAGAGAACCCTAACTTTTAGGGAGGCGGCGTCTGTGGTATTCTCTTCTCTGCGAAGATTCGGAGCGTGTTTTAGTTGGTTATTAAGGGTTTAATGCAAGACTGTGACAAAATAGTTACTCCCTCCAGTCCTTTTTAGTTTGCATATAAGATTTCTTCGAAGTCAAGGTATCTTTACTTTGACCAAGCTTATGGAAAAGAGTATCAACATTCACAATACCAAATCTATATTTTTAGAATCATTATGAAATGTAGTTTCATAGTATATATAGTTGGTATTGTGAATGTATATATTTTTTAATATAAATTTGGTCAAACTTGGTTGAGTTTGACTTGACAGAAATCTAATACGCGAAGTAAAAAGGATCGGAGGGAGTACTTTAGGAAGTCCTCGTTGGAGCATAGAATTTAAAAAGAAAAAAAAAGGAAGAACAATGTATTGTTGTCCTAACGAATATTTACAGTGAGGCACTTTGGATCATAGCATCGCACCAAGTGGATAGGATAGGAAGTTGTTCTCCGGGTCTTGGAGGAACCAAAACTTGAGCTATGACCATATGAACTTATCCACTCCCTTTCTCTCCGCTCTTTCTCCATCGAAGTACTGTTTGATTTGCTCTTGTTTTTTGCAAATGCTGCGGATATGCGATGTATACTAGTAGTACATCTCTGCATCTCCACATGCAAGATATACGTTTATTTTCAGAGGATTCATTAGTTCTGGCACTTATGTTGCGGGGATCGATCTCGGTACAATTACGTGTACCTGTTGCCTGTGCACATTCAAGCACAATCACTCATGGCAGAAAACAGGATATCGCTGGTCCCGTCGGTCCTAGACAAAGGGGGTACGTACGTAGTATGTTTAAGCTGGTCAAAGTGCCTCCGTGGAATAGATTTGGCCCCACTCCTGACATCGGCTCGTGCCCGGAAATGTGGCAGCACCAACGGGATACACAACGCATGATCGATACTTACCAGTCTACTGCTACGGGCCATCTAGCTGCAGCATTTACAGCTAGAGTGACTCGGGTAGCTTTTTCCTCTTCTTCTTTTGCGGGTAAAGATTGACTGGGGTAGCTAACAAAGAAAAAACCACTAAGAACATCTCTAACCGATCCTCGATGAATGCTTTTAGATTAAAATTTTGTCTTTTCTCCTCTAAACCACACCTAACAAGTCCCATATAATCTTTAGAAGAGTAAAAAAATTACTCCAGAGCCACCCCGAATCTCAAATATACTCCACCGAACCATTAAGAGGATACATTTCGTCAGCTCCCCTCTAGACCTGTTCATGGACAACCCGACCCGGAGGCCCGAACCCGAAACCTGACATCCTGACTGAGCTTAGGGTCCACTTTCTCGCCTGAAGCCAGACCTGAAAGCCCGGAAAAAGCCCAAAATAGTCAAATATATATTGATTCAAAATATATGTATAACAAATTAATATAATATTCCAGATATGGTTAATTTAATTAAAAATTGCCACTCGCATGTGCTCTAGGCCGGGCTCAGGCTTGGGATTTTTTTTCTTCGGGCTTTGCCAAGCACGGCCCGTGGAAGGACCAGGTTTACTCCCTCGCAGCCAGCCGTCCTTTGCACGAGAGCCCGAGCGCACACCACGCTCTGTCTCCTCGCCGAGTAGTACCCCGCACGCCGCCCCGAGCTTCTCCGACGACCGGATCACGGCGTCTCGTGCTAGTCTTTCTTTGGTGACCCTCCTCTTTGAGAGGTAGAGGCCAACGTACACGCCTCTTGCGCGCGTCGCGGCGGCGAACTCATGCACGATGTCGCTGGCGCGGCTGCACCCGTCGCTAGAGTGGGCTGTGTAGGCGGACAGCAAGAGGTGGAACTAGTCGTGGTGCTTGACGACGACGATTGTGAATGACGCGCCGCCCGCCGCCGCCGTGTCCATCCATCCACTGGATGGCATTGAGCACGACCAACGAATAGGGGCGGGTCCTCCGCCCCGTGCCCAACTCGGAGTTCATGAATGTGTTCATCCCAGAGTGGAAGAACATGATCACCTCCTACCGCTGCCACACGAGCAGCTCTGCCATCGGAATTCACAGTACCGACAGCGGCAATGATACACGTGCCCCCACCGCGATAGGCGGAGAAATTAGTCCG